ACGCTGTCACATTTGATAGCTATGAGTTGAAATTCAATTAAGTGGCACCTAACAACAACAACAGGAGCTCTGATAGTGTAGTGCCTAAGGCATTTGTCTGCTAACCAGAAGGCTGGTGGTTCAAACCCACCAGCCACTCCTCGGAAGGAAGATGGGGTAATCTACCTTCGTAGTGATACTGCCTCGGAAACCCAAGGAGGGGTCACTGTGAGTTGGGTCCGACTCGACGGCATATAACAACAACAACAACAGCAACAAAAACATCCCCATTTTATGGATGAGGAACCTTAGCATACAGAGGCTAAGTATACTCAAAAAAGGGGAAAAACTGGATCCAAACCCATTTCTGTCAGTTTAGGAAGAATATGTTGTTTCCAGAATCCCTTCAGAAGAAACAGTATGAAATTCCTTTCCTAGAATTAAAAAAAAAAAAAAAAAAAAAAAAGCTAATGTATCGTTGCAGCATTGCTCATCATGCAAGAAAATTCAAATGAGTTTTGACAGTTTCACTTCAGAATGTTACACGGTAGCCTTGCCTTGTGTCATATGTAGGACACAAACTAATTAATGTTTCAGAATGAACCCTCTTTAGGGGGAAAAAATTCAAACATTAAGTTTATTCTACCGATCAAGAGTTCAAGGTAATCACTGTTCAAATTAATCACATATCAAATACATTTTTAAAAGATATTAATGGGAGAAGTGAATACAGATTGCAGCATAAGTCATTTATTTAAAAATAATTTTACATCATATGTGTAATTAATTTGGAATATTAAGAAAGGTTGTTCAAAGGTGCAGTGTTCGAAGCACAGCCCATCCAGACGGGCCAGGCCTTAAAGCCATGCTGTTTTTCAGGATAGTCCCTCACTTGCCACTGTCAGTTCATGTGTCACAGCCATTTCAACTACCAAAGGTCCATTTTGGTGCTGTATATTTTAAACACAGATAAAGAATAGCAGACCAAACAAAAGAGGGGCCTTTCAATCATGGGAATTCAAAAGCACAGGGCCTTTAAGGGGCGATTTCAAAACCCTACTCATTCAGCTTTACTCCAAAGCTTCATGACATGCCCTATTTGATATAGCTGGGGGAACTGTTTCATCAAAAATTTTATCTGAGGCTTAGAATTGGAATGTTAGGTTTACATGTTGTCTCTCTTGGTCATACGGCAAGGTACAAAGAGAGTTCTAGTTTATCTTTCTTAAGTAAATAGAATTAGGGATAATGATATATGACATGTTAGTAACTGTTAATACTTTCAGGAAGAAGCCTTGGTGGAGTGGTAGTTAGCTTGGCTGCTAACCAAAAGGTCAGTGGTTCAAACCTACCAGCTGCTCCATGGGAGAAAGATGAGGCATTCTGCTTCTATACAGATTAACAGCCTTGGAAACCCTATGAGGCAATTCCAATCTGTCCTATAGGGTCATTATGAGTTGGAACCAACTTGATGGCAATGGGTTTAGTTTTTGTTTTAATATTTTTCTGTGTCTGGAGTTTACTATAGACTTTGCTTGTGTATTTTCTATTCATTGAGTTTCATTAAGTCCCATCCTTTGAAGTAGATATTAATATCCAGTTTTTAAGTGATGAAAATGAGTCTTTGAGAGGTGAAGTAATGCCAGTATTTACACAAGTAAGTGGCAGAACTGCAAAACAAACCAAGGCCTCTGCCTCAAGAAGTCAAGCTCTCAACCACCTCATCACACACTCAGGAGTGGCAGTGATGGGGCTGTGAATTTGCTTTTTCATTTTTACCACATTTCTGAGAAGAATGAAGAAACTGTAGACAAGACAAGGATTGTGGTTCCTCAGAGGTCACAGGATGGATGGAGTGGACCAGCACTGTTTTAGCAGATTATGTTTCTCAGGCCTCTGCCCATGTCTCCCCTTCCCTCTCGGGTTCCACCCTCCAAAATGAAGGGTGCAATGTAGCAGATGAGACTGTCTTGGTTCCCTTAATTTCCCCAGTGTAATCAGCCTCAGAAAGACCCAGAAAAGTTCAAAAAACAGAGGCAAGCCAAAGGATTTCTCTCTTCTCTGCATGGGTGTGGATACCCCTAGCTCACTCATCCAGAAAAACAGCCATTTACTCCCATAGATGACACAATTTATTTGATGGTTTAAAATCAAGTGAACATCTAGGAATAAGAGTAGGCATTATCTAAAGGTCCTCAGATAATACCAAGGGTTTTTGCTGGTCAGATTCCAGCTAACCATCTGTGTCTCGTGCTTTTAACTTTTCAAGGCCCTATCTATAGCTCTATCTGTTTTTCCCCAGCCCACAGTAATCTTAATAAATAAAAGATGTAATTAGAAAAGGATGGCCACACAGTATGACTGGAGCTCTCACCCTCTAGTTGAGGTAAACCGTTTTTCTCCAAACCTACTGAATTCTATGAAATTCTATTTGCTGTATTCATAAAGCACCAGTAACCAGAGGATGAAAATCTGTCATGACTCAGAATTTTCCACAGTAATGTGAAAGTGGAGAGTGGGAAAGTGATTGTTTCAAGCTATCTAATAGCACCCTACATCTGAATGTTCTCTATCCTTACTCATTGCTGTTGAGTGAATTCTGACTCATAGTGACCCTGTGGGAAGAGTAGAACTGCCCTACAGGGTCTCCAAGGCTGTAATGTTTAGAAAAGCAGACTGCCACATCTTTCTCCCATGGAGAGTGGGCTGATTGGGCTGAACCACCGCCCTTTTGGTTAGCAGCCTAGCACTTAAAACATTTTGTGACCAGGACTCATGAACGTTCTCTAGGAACCTGAAAATAACTTTTCCCAAACTGAATTCATTGTCTTTCTACTCAAACTTGTTTCTGCTCATGCACCAAACACTAGTCAATGATATCTCAATTCACGCAGACATTCAAGGTTGTTGTTGTTGTTATGTGCCGTAGAAACTACCTTTCCTATTTCCTGTCGTTGACTGATCCTCCCCAACCCTGCATAATCACACATGGAGGGATGCTGACTCTAACTCAGAAAACTCAATCATTTTTTTTCCCTTCAATTCTCACTCTATTGCTAAATTTAGATATAGGTCATGACTAATAAAATAAACTTCTATTTTCCTTACCTTCATCTTCTCCACTCCCACCCATCCTCCACCCATAACCAGAGCCAAATTAATAAAACACAGATCTGATCACGTTATGTTCTTGCTTAAAAATCCTCACTTACTTCCCACTGACTACAGGACGGTATCCAAATTTTTAACTTGGTATTCAAGTTCCTTAACAAGATTAATTTACTTTGTAGTTTTAGCTCTCCCCAACTCTTTCAATCCTTTCCAATTCAAACATACACATTTGTAGACAACATTTTGGTCACACTGGATTATTTACTCTCCCCAAATTCTTAATATTTTTATATTCTCTTTCCTTTTAAATTTCAAATAGAATTTTCTACTTGATATATTTAAATGTCCATTCATCCTTCAAAGAACTATCACATGTCTCATTCAATTGCACTCCACCTAAGCCCAATACAAGGAGCTCTGGTGATGCAGTGCCTAAGGCATTTGACTTCTAACCAGAGGTTGGCAGTTCAAAACCACCAGCCACTCCGCAGAAGGAAGATGAGGCAATCTACTTCCATAGAGATTTACTGCCTCAGAAACCCAACAGAGGTCGCTATGAATCAGAATTGACTGGATGGCAGTGGGTTTGGTTTTGGTTTAGTTATAGTCCAACACAGTTAATTTATGATAACTAAACTAGTATATATTTAGAATGTATTGTTATTACTTGTATATGCATCTATCTCCTCCTCTTCTTCCATCCACAGAATCCCAGCTCCAAATTCCAAACTTTGATTTATCTTTATATTTTCATTTCCTACTTCAGTACAAAGCTCATAGAAGATGGTCGATATATATTATTGAATGAACAAACCAACTAATGAACCACATTTGAGCAAGTCTCACAGTGAGTAGACCCAAGACAACATTAGGAAGAGATTCCAGTACTGTATCAATTATATAATGGTTTAAACTAAGACAGGGGAGGGGAAACTAAGGCTAGCAAGGATATAGAAATTTCTCCAGGATGTTAAAATAAACAAAAAATTCCATTTGTAGCAGCAGATTGGTTTGGTAATGAGAGTTTGGGGTGATGGGTCATAAAAGAAAGCTAAATGAGAAAGCAAAAATGCTTTCCAGAGGAAGTATTCCTTTGAAAAGTAGTAATTCAAATAACAACTACTTCCTGCCTTTAATATTTGAATGGAACTAAATCACAGTTTCATGGTACCCACTGTAAACTGATAAGAGTTCAGATTTGCAAACATATAATAAACATTCAACAAACAATTGAGTACAAGTAACACCCCTGAGAGGCCAGCACCCAGCTCCTCCTGACAGGATTCTACCTGCCATTTTCTGTTTCCTCATATTTGGGGTCAGCTTTGAGCTCATGTGCTTTCACAACCATTCAATTGTCGTACTGAATCCAAATCAAAGTGATGACTATGGAAACTGCCTGCAAAACCAGCACATCACAGGCTGGCCCCTGACTCTGGATCTTTCCCACGATGCCTAACTAATTTTATTTATTTCCTTTCCCAACAAAAGGCTGTAAAACAACAATTCCTTCAGTCCAAAATCAGAACTTTTGGCAAGGGAGGGAAGAGAGGCTGAATAATATGTTCCTATGACTTTAGATATATTTTACAAATGTGCGTGTGGGTTCATCTTTTGCTCTTGATGTCACGTGGTTAATTCCTTCACTTAGCTTAAGACACAAAGTCAATACAGTAGACATTTCATGATATACTTTCTCTGATTATAGACCTTAGATGGAGATATGTGGTCATTTTCACATGATTTAGATACAAGAAAATCTGGCTTCCCTTTAGTACCTTGGTCTTTTTTACAATATTGAGCAATGCCCGCTTGCTCTGGTTGGTAGGTTTTCATTTCAGGGTAGTTCCTTGATCCTGAACACTTGTCTTGTTCTGTAATTTACATCACAATTATTTCAATCCTTCCAGTTGGCAGATGACTTGATCTCGGACATTTTCACTGCAATTGGCTCAGTGACGTTAGCCTTGTTATTGATCCTCTTTCTGGCAGTTGTGGCTTCTGTTGTAGCCTCCAAGAAAAGAGCAACTCAGGGAACTTACAGCCCAAGCTGCCAGGAGAAGGAAGGCTCTCGAGTGGAAATGTGGAACATCATGCCACCACCTGCAATGGAGAGGCTAATTTAGGAGAATCTTGACCGTGGAGAAAGGCATCTACATGTGGTGAACGTGACGCTTGTACTTCATGGTTTTCTGACACACCTGGAGGTATTCATTTACAACAGAGTTTACAGTGGAACTATGGACAGGATTCCTTTGGCCACGTTAAAGACTTTGATGGTGGTTCAACTTGACACGATTGTTTCATTATATTAATTAGCCATTCACAGAACAATGTCTTTGTGCCAGTAATTTCAGCCTCATACTTAGCAAAAATGCTTTCCAGAGGACAAAGATTTGGGAAAAGCTCCAGTGCCTGTCACTTAAACTCTGCAAACTGGGGACACCTCTTTAGTTTAGCTTTAGCTGGCAATGGTCATTTTTTACACAGAAACTACAGGAGAAATAGAATATATTTCTTATGCTCTCTGTAATATAATCAACTGATTTAATTCTGTACCTACAATGCGATGTGTATTTTTTGTCCTTCAATCATAAAATTCAGAGAAAGCCATGGAATGATCTATGGTTAAGAAGTGACCCAACAATGATAAATAAAAATGGGAATATGGTTGTTCTCCTTTCTGAGTATTCTTCTGTGTCTTGGGACATTACATGGGAGAAACAGTGACCTCTAGGAACATTCAAAGAGTTTGCTTTCGAATTAGAACTTTTAACTAAATCATTTTAAACCTGATTACATTTAAGTGATAAGGTTAATTAAGGTAAAATACTTCCTTAGATAAGAAAGGAAGAAAGCTTAGATTTCAAATCTGAAAGGCCAAACTTTTTACTTCTAACGACTTTGGATAAATCATTGTCATTGCCCACAGGTAAGGACCTCAAAGTCAGGTGTGTGCCCTTCAAGGGATACCTGAGTAAGACTATCCACAGGGTGATATATTTTATCTCCCTAGTATTTGCTTCAATTTTGTGAATATTTTGAAATGCCACATAACATTTACCACAGGATATAAATAAGCTTTTTAAATATATGCATATATATCTTGAGTATAAGTTCAAAAATCTTAGTGATATGAATTTTTGTGACATGATTGTGAACATACAAAAAACTCTTGTTTAAAGGAACACATGCTTCTCAACTATTCAAGGACATCCTCCCAGAAACTGCCCGTTTCTCTCTACCACCATCAATTTTCACACTGTACTGGATCCTTCCCATCAGTCCCAAAGATGCTGTCATATTTTCTATCCCATAAATTCTCTCTCTTAGCCTATATTTCTCTCTCTAATTACCATTTGTTTATCAACACTCCTTTTCAGACCAACCTGCTTACGATGGATTGAATTGTGTACAAAGTGCACACACCATCTTACTTCCTGCCCTGGGGTCAACCCTGGCCGGGGGCAGCCAATGTAAAAGGCACATCTGGTGTGTGTTTACAAGAAATGACAAGAAGGCTCCTTCAAGCGGCCCCTCGTGTGGCTTCTGTAGGCACAGTGAGTGCAAAGAGAGGCAGGAAATGACAAAAGACCATAACTTAAATCAACTGTCAACCCCGCTTGATTTTATTTCCTTAAAATATCACTGTTAACAGGTGCTCTTTTCATTGGAAGAGGTGCACATGGTTTGTGCTTTGATTACCAACTTGAAAGTTGTCAATTAAAATCCACCCAGGAGCACATAGTGGGTGGAGGGTCGGGGGGGGGGGGGGGCGAAACCTGGTAATCTGCTTCTATAAGACTTCAGCCAAGAAAAACCTATGGAGCAGTTCTACTTTGTAACACATAAGGTCACCATGAGCTGGAGTGGAGTCAGTAGGAAGGGGTTTGGTTTTTGATTTCTTGTCATTGAGATGGAAATAAGTAGAGTCCCCTAGTCTGGCACTGTGCAGCTATTATTGTTACTATCAATTCATAACTACTGGCAGTAATGGAAAATTAATAGTATAGAGATAGAAGTCACCATAGAAATGGGAATGATTATTATAATAATAATAGAAGGTCTTTTATTGAGCACTTGCTAAAGGCCAAGACTGTACTAGGCTTGCTGCACTGCACTTTTGTCTCACTTAATCCTCACAACAGCATTTGGAAGGAGGAATATTATTATTATCATTTTAAGAGCTTTTAAAGACAAAGAAACATAGGCTTGACTTTCTGCTCTGCCTCATCTAGTGACCTGGACTTAATCTGCAAAATAGATCATACCTTTATCTCGTAGGCAAATTAGGACAACTGGGGTAAATGTAAAGGAGCCCTGGTGATGCAATTTGTTAAGCAGTTGGCTGCTAACTGGAAGGTCTGTGGTTCAAACCCATCAGCAAGCTGCTCCTCATGAGAAAGATGTGGCAGTCAACTTCTGTAAAGATTACAGCCTTGGAAACCCTTTGGGCAGTTCTACTCTGTCCTACAAGTTCACTGTGAGTTGAAATCTACTTGGCAGCAAAGAGTTTTGGTTTTAGGATTAGTATAAAATACTTAACTACATGTAAGCACGGACTATATAGGATGCAATATTATAATTTTTCACCTAAGATCGATTGTTATTATGACAAGAGAAAAGCAGAAGCAACAGGTTAATTGTTTCCCCATTCCATCTCTCAAGCAAAGCAAATGGCTTCCTTCTCTCTTCCTTGCCTTCTTTCCATTCATCTTATGATAAAAAACCAAAAAAACTTACTGCCATTGAGTCAACTATGACTCACAGTAACCCTCTTTGGGTTTCCCAGGCACTAAATCTTTTTGGAAGTAGACTGCCCCATCTTCTTTCCGCAGAGTGGCTGGTTAGTGGTCAAATACCTTAAGCACTGCACCACCAGAGCTCTTTCCATCTCATGATGTATTTGTAAAATAAGTGGACTTCTTTCAGAGAAAGACTGTTTTCATGCCATTTTCATTCCTCTAAATTGCCCCCTGAATCAGGGTGGGAATTCCACTGAAGAAATTGCTTCATTTGGAAGGCTGAAAGGAACTATACATGCCACTGGTACGTTCTCAATAAAATTGCGAGAAAATAAGTAAAAAAAGTCTCAAGTCTCTGAGTCCCAACCAAACAACTGATGATAGAATTTTTTTTTAATTGTTGTTTTGCTTTACAGAGGGTTTTTTTGTTTTGTTTTGGTTTTTTGTTTGTTTGTTTGTTTGCTCTTGCCCTTTAGGGTTAGCCCTTAACCCTCTTTTGTTAAGGAATCACAATCACCTACTATAATCGACGCTTAGAAAAATGAACCCATGATCTTGCTTTCAATCATCTTATGGATCAAGATTAACTAAACACCCTTCACCTGGTTGTATGCTCTACCATGGTATGGTTCAAACTATGAAAATTTCCTTAATTCAGGAGTGAATATGGCCTTTCAAATTCCCACCTGTTTCCAGCAAAAAGTGCAATTTTTACTGCTGTGTATTGCATTGAATAGTGATGACAAAAATGCATGTTTCCAATTTAAACCCACTCTTCTACAATGATTTTATATCCGGGCTTTGCTTTACTTGGTTCCAGAAATCTGGGAACAATATCAATCAAAAATATTTGGCAATACCTGCCTGAGGACAAAGGGCTCAGTGGTTAAAGCATTAAGCTACTAGCCAAAAGGTTGGCAGTTTAAACCGACCAGCTGTTCCATGGGAGAAAGATGAGACAGTCTGCTTCCGTAAAGATTTACCGCTTTGGAAACCCTATGGGGCAGTTCTATTCTGTCCTATAAGGTCACTATGAGTCAGAATCCACTCTCTGGGTTTCCAAGTTTGTAAATCTTTACGGAAGCAGCCTGCCTCATCTTTCTCCCATGCAGCACTGGTAGATTTGAACCACCAACCTTTTGGTTAACAGCCAAAAGCTTTAACCACTGCACAACCAGAGCTCTTGAACCAGTCCCAGTTTCTCCTAATATGTTGGGCAAAAAATAATTGTTGGAACTGCTCCCTAATCCATGTCCTCCAACTCTCAATGTCAGAGATGGTTAAGTTTCCTGGCTCTAAACTAGAGCTCATTTGAGGATAAAATAAGAAAAACCCCAAATGGAAAGAAGTAGGTGCTCCAGAACCCTGTTTTCACTTAGTCCTTCATATCACAGACTCACATATATTGTGGGTCATTTTATTCAGCTCCATGTTCAACATCCAACCTTATGTAGTTGTGAGTCTTTTACTACACAAGGCAGGTGGTTTAAAATGTGACTTACAGGTTACCTTCCTGGTAACAGAGATAATTCAGAGACCGAATTGGGCAAGGTCACTCCTGTTTTCTAACATGTGCGCGGTGTAGTAAATTACCTGGTATGGCTTTTCTAGCCATAAGTCTTTGTAAGCTCTGTGGTGAAATTTGCTGTGAGCAACTGAGAAGCTCCTGATTATTAAAGTTATCCACCTGGGGTATTTCTGTTGAGAGTGGCACAAAGCAATGTTCTGGGAAGTTCACTCTCTCTCAGGTGCTTAGAATTCTGATGTTACAATTGCCTAGTTTGGCCACTCTGCCAGGCTCAAAAGGAGGCCTCCTAGAAGCAGAAGTCTGACTGCTGGCTGAGAAGGATGTGCTGCTGAGAGTAACACACTCCAGAGAGAAACATGCCCCTGAGAGACATGGGCTCCTGAGAGACATGCACTGCTGGGAAAGAGATGCAAGAGACACACATTGCTGAGAGAGACAATGAGAGACATGCACTGCTGGGAGAGGGACTGTGAGAGACTGTTGGTGAGAGACGGTGGGCTGAGAGAGACTGAGCGCTGTTCCTGAACTTGAATTGTGGCCTGGTGCTTCCCTATTAAACCCCATAACTGTGAGTTCTGTGTGGCCACTGCAGCGAATTATCAAACCCCAAACAGAGAGGTTGTGGGTGACTTGGGAGGAGGTTGGTGAAAGGGCTGGAGGGAGGGAGGCAGCATGTCTGGCCTTATAGGAATAGGCCTTGGGCTACTGATGGTGATCCTGTCTTCCTCTTGTGAGGTTAGAGGAGGTCAGGAGATGCAGCCTCCCTGGCCCCTTGGCAACATGCTTTAAAAGAAAAAAAAAACCACTATATGTGAATGATTTGGGGATGTTAAATTTTGCAGCCATGTATATA